AAGTAAGTAGGGTTTCGAGACTACCAGTAAATCAGTGTAATGAGATGTATTCACCCTATTTCGTATAAGGGGGTTAGTGTGTCAAGCTACCGTCCTGCACTGTCGTGGTTCGAATCCCGCTGAGGGTGTTGATAAGACCGATACGAGGTCGAAACTGCAGTCCATTCCAACCAGAACAACTTTTGGGAAAGCAAGGCTACGTGAAATTGAATGGAAACGTCAGCTCAACTCATATCATTGTGGGACAATTCTAATACCAATCCTTCATCACCTTACACGAAATAGGGTGAATACATCTCAATACACTGAGTTAAGATTAGTCAAGTAGTCACGTGTTCTTTGCTCCAAGGATGTTTAGCCATGGCTACGAGCGGGATATAACGAAAAGCAAACATTGAATATGAAAAGTATGGGGTTAGGTCACTACAAAACAATTCAATCTCATGTTCAGTCTATGGTCTGCGTGTTCGACCACTTCAGACCGTTGGACCCAGCTTCCTTTACAACCATTTTTGTGTTGGCCAAATCTTTGTCGAATATGTCGGCATGCCTCGCCAGCATAAGATCGACCACAGGAACAAACAATTTTGTAGCAACTGGATCCATTTAAAAGATGGCATAGCAGAATCAAGTGTGAGGCTTTCTTTAAACATTGTTATTCTCCTAAACTTTCTCGCTAATTCTCTTATCTTTTTCGGGAGAAGACATAACGGCAAAGAATAAGATTGAACGTAGCGTCAATAGATAAACTACTTAACCCAGCAATGAGTAGCACCTTACCTGTGATGGTAAGACTGGAGAAACACTTCCTGAAAGAGGCAATACTAACACCCAAATTGTGGGTTAGATACATGATTGACTATTTTGTCATCTGGCCTTATGCGAATGAAAGTTTAGATAATTTTCTACCTGCACTCAACCAGCATGAAAGTAACATTATGTTCACGATGGAAATGGAAGAGAATAAGTCCCTACTCTTTCTGGATGTTCTCATCATTAGAGAAGAGAGTAAGTTAGGAAGAGATGTTTATAGGAAGACAACATGTTGGCTCTGCTTAATTTTCTTTCCAACCATAGTTACAAGACTAAGGTTGGAAGTTTGAAGTCAATGCTTCATAGAGGTATGAAACTAGCGGATAGCAAAAATTTTACTAAAGAGTAGGAACCGCTGACAAATGTATTCCAGGAAAATAATTATCCTTTGGGCCTAATTGAGAATAATATCTCTCTACTGAGGAATACATTTTCAGACGGAGACCATTTAGTCAAAGAGACACAGAATGAGACCTTCTCCCATTTTCTAATTTTGCCGTCATGTTTTCTCTCAAAAAAGATAGGCGAATTAGTGAAGAAGTGGGGCATAAAAACAGTGTTCAAAGAAACTCTCACACTTTTTCTGTTATGCCATCTTTTAGAGAGAAATATGACCCATTCTCGAGATCCGGCTGCTAAGGATTGTTTGCTCATGTGGTCTATGTTATGTTGGTGAGACATGCCGACCTATTCGACAAAGATTGGAAGAACACAAAAATGCTGTAAAGGAAGCTGGCTTTAACGTTTAAAAGTGGCCGAAAACATGCTGAAAACTGTACATGGGATAGAATGGTCTCAAACTAGTAGGTTCGCTGATTGTAGTACGTCTGTGATTACAAGAAAGATAAGAGAAGCTATTGAAAATGATAGATTACGTTGAATGCGATGAACCGTGGTAGAATAAGGAGTAGGAACTACTTAAGCTTGAACCGCCATCCTAAAGAAGGTGACCAGAATAAACTTAATTAACAAAACCATTCTATATCGTTCTGTGTTTTATTAATTGTCTTTTGCTTAAATCAGACTTTCTAAGACGTCAGGTAGTGATACGAAGAGAACCTGGGTTTTGATGAATCTCTTGAGATAACATTGTTAGGCGGACTTTCATTTTGCATGAAAGTGCATGAAGAAGAGATTCGTTGGTCGATCTCACCAGATGAAGATGAATGAATAGGCTAGTATGTTTTGATGTTGTATCTATGTACACAAACATTTCTGTTCAAGAAGCTATTTAAGCTCTGATACAAACTATGGAGGAGCATCCAGAGATAACAAAAGGAATAAAGCTGAGTGTAACTTCCATTATTAGACCTATCAACATATCCATGAGAACCACATATTTTACCTTTGATACGAACAAACACAAGGACTAGCGATGGGCTCTTGTCTAGCTCTATTCTTGGCGAACATGCCTTCTCTCAAAAAAGAAAGACGAATCAGTAGAAAAGTGGGGGGATAAAAACAATGTTCAAAGAAAGCATCACATTTTCTCATGTTATGCCACCTTTTAGAAAGAAATATGACCCATTATCGAGATCCGGCTGCTACAAGATTGTCTGCTCATGTGGTTGATGTTATGTTGGTGAGACATGCCGACATTTAGAACACAAAAATGCTTTTAGAAGAAGCTGGGTAGAAACTAGACATGAAATAGAATGGTCTCAAACTAGTAAGTTTGCTGATTATGGTACGTCTTTGGTTAAAAGAAAGATAAGAGAGGCTATTGAAATGAATAGCTCAGGAAATACGTTGAATGTGAGGAACGGTGGTAGAAAGAGACAGAGAGGTTAGGAGAAATGGTTTCGTAACATAAATTGCATGCTTACAAGCTCTTATCTCTTATCTCAATCATACTTGATTACGAACTTACGCATTATCGGTAATGGCCTTTTCGTGGGTCATTAAGACTTGACGACTAAAGCTTGAAATTAGACTTTTTGATAACTCTGATTTAAGACCGGTGTTGCGTATAGACGCTAACACACACACACACACACACACAAATATACGCACACGCACACACTCGAGCAAAAGTAGCAGGAGCAGTGTAAAAGATAATTAGCCAAACCACTTTATTTCTATCAAGCTTTTTAATTTTCTTTTACTTAATTGAGTCTATTTAAGAGGAAAGATAGAGCCGAATAGTCTTCTCGCAGAAATGAGACCAAGCTCTGATGATGTCCAATGAATGATGGACGAAAACTCAGACCCTTTTCACCCGAAACGAGGGAGGTCTCGTGGACTGCGTCAACCTGAACGTCATATCAAAGCCAAACGTCCTCTTCTGGTGAGATCGACCTACGAATCTCTTCTTCTTCATGCACTTTCATACGAAATCAAAGTCCCTCCAACAATGTTATCTCATGAGATTCATCGAAACCCATTTACTCTTCGTAGGCCTAGGCAGTTTTTATTTTGTCTCTTGTTAGTATTTGAAGAACATTCTCTATTTATTGACATTTGGACAGTCGTCAAGGCGTTGAAAGAAGCGATGCCGGATTTGGATGCTACCGGCGCCAAAAAATGTGCCAATCTGAGACGTAAGTATGCGGTAATGCTGTCATGGCTACCACTTACTGACTACGATGATGTCCATCGTCTTCCTGGGCTTGTTCGGTTTCAACATTCCGGTACTGGCAACGCAACTGTACCTGACGCGTACCTCACGATCCTTCTCAAGCAGAGTCAGCTCACTGCTGGAAACCTTCTGGAGCACGTCTGCACTGCATTGAATGCACTCCCATTCCACGGCGATGGTGGGCTCCTGGTGGGAGCAGGTGAACCGGCTGCCAGGGATGAAATAGAGCTGTGTGAATATGTCTCCGATGGGTTTGGGGAAGCGCTGTGTGATGGTTAGGAAGTCCGTGGCTGGGCAGAAAACGTAATGAAAATGCAAAAAATAATACAGAAAGTGTTTGTTTAAATACAGAACTTATTGGGCTAATTGGGAGACATACTCTTTTGGATGGGAGGAAACTCAAAATCGACAACATTTCAGTCCAGGCTAAAGGCAGACAATGAGCGGAAAGAATGTAATGAATCCTCAAAGATACCTGTTAAGGACACAGTCAGAGGATAAAAACATAGTGAAAAAAGCATAAATCAGTTTCACATAAAATCATACTGAATGCGTTAGTCCAACAGGCTAGTTCGATTTAATGATAAGCACACAATCAGATGGTGACCAACCACATGCACGTCTAGATGGAATTTGGCAAAAGTAAATCTGGGCAGAAATTAAATATGAGATGTATTCACACAATTTCGTTTAAGCTGAAGAAGGACTGATAGCACAATTTTCCCACAATGATGTGAATTGAGCTGATGTTTCGATTGAATTTCCCAAAAGTTGTTCTCATCCAGGCACCAGTGGACTGCAGTTTCGACCTCGCATCGGTCTTATCAACACCCCCAGCGGGAGTCGAACCGTGACAGTACAGAATGTGAGCTTGGGTCACAGGGCAAATGTGAATTTTAAGGAAGGTCAGGCCTTTTTTCTCATACCACATTCTTTGGTGGGATTTTCGATGCTATAACAATCGACTACGTTACTTTATTTTTCACATTTAACTGTTGTTTCGAGACTACCGGTAAATCAGTAATATGATGGTGGCCAACCATATGCGTGTCTAGATGAAATTTGTCAGTACTAAATGAGCCTACAATAGGGGCAC